GAAAAAAAAAATTCGACTGAGATGATTCCTGAAATTTTCAAATTTGGAATTGGTGAAAATTACCTCTACATGTCATGCTTCCAACAATTTCAATTTAACCATTTTTCACAGCAGTTGTACATCCATGAAATTCTGATTGTCTATAACAATGAATTTACAAGTTCCTGAGAATCGTGTCGCGGCACTGTCATATCAAAATGATATAGGGAAGGGGCAGATAGTCCTGAAGAACAAGAAATTTCTCACACATTGAACATCTGTCGTTTACTGCCGCTACTTTGGATGATGCCCTCGCTCCCCCGTCCCGGTCCCTCTTTTTGCCCCATCCTGCGCTTACATCAATCAAACTGTTATCCTGAGTTTGCTCCCCGGCACCGTGTATGACCTCCGCGAATTCGCCGCCCTCCGCATTAGAAAGTTTTGCGCGTTGCTATTGTTAATCATGTTCCTGTTACCCAGAAAGTGCTTTGAAAAAAATAGCGGAAGGATTCGCTTTGCAAAAATCTGAGGGCTGGTAAACATTTTTGCCGAAATTTATTCAGGCATTTTTAAAAAATTTTTTACTTTTTTTGTATAAAATTTAAAAGGAAAAAACTACATTTTTGTCGGCAAGCTATTTTTCGCGTCGTGTTAATAGATGTAGAAAATAAATGCCAGAACAAACAATTGAAAATAAGATTAGCTGCAGCGAATTTCTACAGCAATTGGCAAAATTATGCCAGTACTTAGTAAGTCCTTATTGTGATCTTAGAGTATTATTATCCTCTTAGTTGTCACATTCCGGAAGGTGTCGCAGAAATTAAGGTTTCTTAGGTATCTTTGAAGAGATTGCTACTGGAAAAAAAAGCGCTGACGTAAATACGATTAAACAATCTGCCACTGGCAAGCAAAATCGCAATTTTCACAGGCGCCACAGCAAATTTCAGGTCGCTTTTGTGAGCAGGATGTTGATGAGTGTGAACTTGGCTTGCACGACTGCAAAAACGGAGGTACTTGCTTCAACAAGAAAGAAGGCTATCACTGCGTCTGTGTTAACGGCTGGGAAGGTGAACATTGCGAGATCAACAAGGACGATTGCGTGGATGCGCTTTGCGAAGCGGGCAGTACTTGCGTAGACCACGTTGCCAAGTATACATGCGAATGCCCACCTGGACGCATTGGTAAGCTTGAGCCAATCCATTTGTGATGAGCTTCAAAAGCAGTGATTTTTCGGCGTTGTAAATCGAGTCTGTTCTACAGGTTTGTTCTGTCATATGGAAGACCCATGCCTGGCGAATCCATGTCGAACTGGCTCGGTCTGCGAGCCAGATACCTCAAGTGGAAAGTATACTTGTGAATGCCCGAAAGGTTACACTGGCGAAGACTGCTCCGAAGATATCAACGAATGTGAGCAGGTGAATAAAAAACAATAAATTTTCTGGAAAACTCAAGATATAGGTAGATAAAAAAGAGCACTATTTTCTTGGTATAATGGTGATACCATTCATTATCTTTATTTGCAAAAAAATCACAGTAATCTACGTGATAAAAGATCATGAGAACATACATTTATCACCAAAAATACCAAGACTGCGCGGACTATCAGTGTGGGTATTCCCTGTTAGCGATGTTACTAGGATGCTTTCACACGCCGAGCTCAGCTATCACATCATTATAACGATAAAATTAAGAATTATGATTGTGACTGAATTCATCGTAATGCAGGCGATACTAAACCGATTAGACGTTACGCGTGGTTCTTACGTATAAGCACTTAAAGTTTTGGCTGAATATCTGACTGAGCAACTAAGTTACTTTTAAAGAACGATCGTTAAATGGAAATTGTACATCTACTTCGTGCAAAATTTATGGTGATTTATGCTAGTGATCGCAAAAGGTATTGCGATTATTTTAGGGACACGTCTGTTACAATGGCGGGACGTGCATAAACACGCCAGGATCATTTCGCTGTGATTGTCCAACCGGTTACACCGATTGGCACTGTCAAACACATGTTAATCAGTGCTCCACAAATCCATGCCTCAATTCGGGCACATGTCTGGATTATGGCACACGTTTCAAATGCGTCTGCATGTCCGGTCAATTCTTCTAGCACTCTTCAGCGCACTTTTTCACTTTCATTCTTTTCTACTTTACTCGATATCCTGTTTCTTCATTTTTTTGGTCTAAAAACTTCATATTTTATTCGATTTTTTTTTCCGGTTGAATTTATTACTCTTTATCTTTGAGGCTACTGATTCTAACACTACACTTTGGTCCAGCCTTTACTATTATTCACATTTTTGCATTACTTTACCCGCCATAATGTTTCTTCAATATTTTTCAGTTTAAAAACCTCATATTTTATTCAGTTTTTTCGGTTAGATTATTATTCTTTACTTTTAAGGTTACTGGTTCTAATATTATACTTTGGTCCTTTCGCTTTTTTTGCCTGTTGTTACCATGTTTCTTTCCTCAGCTGTTTATTTATTGCGCAAATATTGATATATTACGCTTTTATATATCTTTAGTTTTCCTGGCTTTCTTAATACATTGTTTAAATGACTAGATTTCGGCACACATCGTAGGGGAAGAGGAGCGGGGCATGAAGGTTGGGGGGGGGGGGGGGGGGGGGGGGGGGGGG